AACAGCAAATCAAAAGTATGAATTTTGGAGAGAGATTCACAAAAATGATAACATCAATATATCCGAACCAAAAAGCATGCGTCTTGGTGAATGGGGATCCAACAAAATTTTTTGGAATAAATAAAGGAGTAAGGCAGGGATGTCTTACTTTTTATTTTAACTCTGGAAAACCTGTTAATTAGAATTAGGGCAAACAAAGAAATACAAGGATTAAAGATTAAGAGAGAGGATTACAAGGTCCAAGCTTTTGCGGATGACCTTGTTTTCTTCATAGAAGATCCATAGAAGACAATAGAAACAACCCCGAAATTAATAAAAGAGATTGAAAAATTTGGAAAGGTAGCAGGCCTAAAAGACAAAAATGATAATAAAAAATATGACAACAAAACAAGTAGAGAAATTGGTAAAAGATTCAGGACTACAGGCAGTTAAAAAAGTAAAATATCTAGGGATAAATTTGACGGCTAGAACTGCAACAATAAAAGAAGATAATTATGAACCTTTAGTCCAGAAAATAAAAGAGGATTTAGACAAATGGGGGAAATTAAAACTGTCCTTGCTGGGGAGAATAGCAGCGATAAAATCAAACATACTTCCAAGACTCCTTTATTTATTCCAAACAATTCCAATAAAATTAGATAAGAATTTTTTTGATAATTTGAACAAAATAACTACAAAATTTGTGTGGGAGGGGAAAAAATCAAGAATAAAATTAAATATATTACAAGACGACAAAATTAGAGGCGGATTTGGGTTCCCGGCATGGGAAAAATACTATAAGGCTGCAAGCCTATTATGGATCAAAGAATGCATAACATTGGATAACCAAAGACTGTTAAATCTGGAAGGACATGATGTAATGAAGGGATGGCATGCCTTTATATGGAGCTCAGGAAATAAAATATACAAACATTTCAATAACCACACTATCAGGAAATCCTTAATCAACACATGGCAACAAATCAAATGCAAACACTACATGAAAATTCCCAGCTGACTATCAACGATAGAAGCAATAACTCACCCCAACGTATTATCAACACAAAAAATCTTATGATATAGAGAAATAGTAGATGTACAGGGAAAATTGAAAACTAGGGATGAACTTAAAGAACAAGGAATAGTAATAGACTGGTGGCCCTATTCACAAATAAAGATGACTTCCGGTTTGCTGTTTGTCGCTGCCAGACGTTCCTTTGGGATCGTCAGCTTCCATCGCCTGTCAGAGCCGCCTTCACAACGGAATGGCGGCTCGAAAAAACTCCGTTTCCATGAGGAAACGGAGATAGAGCCGGCAGGGGTGGGTAGAACTCTCCGCGGAGTCCCAAAAGTTTTTCCTTTACTTTTGGGACGGAGCGGATGAGATGCCCCGTATCCCCAGCCGCTGCTCCGGGCTTTGGGAGACCTCTGCTGATGCAGAGCCAGGCGTCAAAAGCAAGCCTGCAAATTTAACAGACTACTCAAAGAAAATGTGAGCTGGACCTGTAATACTGAACCGCAAGTATTTTACTGATTTTTTAAAAAAAATTACTTAAGAGAGAGGAGGAAAAGAAAGAGGAAAAAAAGTCTTTTAAAATGGCGTCGGCTGGAGGAGAGACTGAAAGGGAAAGTCCTTCCGTTTTCTATTACTACAATGTAGCGGAATAAATACCACTGGCTACATTTGTAGACAAAACTTCGCTCCTGTGTCTTTTTCTCTTTTTCTTCCCTTGGAGACTTGATATTGTTGTTGATTGGAAAGAAGTCCCTTTTTTTCTTGCTTTTTTTTTTAACAAAGCCTGCCTGGGCGGAAACATGGCACTGAGACTCATAAAGTCAGATAAACAAGAAGGGGGGGGATTCCCCCACCAACAACTTAAAGGAACAAGTCTTAACTCTTCAGTCTCAGAAACCTGATTTTAATATAATAGAATTTTTTATAGAGGAGATTGAAAGAAGGGAGGAGATTGTGAATCAGCAACTTGAAAAATTTAAGCAGGAAATTAAAGAAATGGTGAAATCTAAGTTTGATTCTTTGGAGAAAAAATTCTCAAAAGTGGCTAATGGCTTTACAGAATTTATGATACAGTTGGACACAAATACTAATGTACTAGAGTCTAAAATGGAAGAAATTCAAGATAAATTGGACAATAGAATTCAAAAAATTGAAAATGATTTGACAAACACTCAGGATAATAGCTTAGAAGAAAAACCTAAAATGGACGCTGATCAAAAGTATGGTAATGCAGAAAATCTGCAACAGAAGATTGAAAAAGAGGAGAAAGATATCAGCTAAATACTGTTGAAAGAGCGGAAGAATTTTATCAAAATAGGTTGAAAATGAATTTAACATCTTCAGGTATAATACAGGATAAGCAGAAGGAGCCGGAAATAAAGGTAAAATATCGAATTACAGAGACTGTACCAGATGAATTGCCTTTGGATTTATTGGATACCCCAGCTGGACTATCTACAAATCTGAGAGAAGTGGCATCTAACCTTAATGTGATGACTTATCAAGGCAAGGATAAGCATGGAAACCAATTAGGGGATATACAAGGGATAAAAAAGAAACATGAGATACAAAAACAAAACCAACAAGACCAATCTACAAAGCAGAATAAAAACCGACCAGATGATATACAATTTGTAGAAAGGAAACCAGGATGGAAACCAAACCCACAAAAAGAAAAGAAAAAAAGAAATAGGTGGCATAAAAATAGAAATTTCTAAATCAGGCAACAGTGAAGCCAGTGACTTTAAAATATGAATGATTATGTGTAAACACAGAAGAGGCGACGTATTGGTTAATATCATCGTGAGGATTGTGGCAGATCTCTGCATGGCCGTAATCTGGGGATGTGAAACGAGCCTTAAACTGATTGATTTGAATTATCTATTTTGGAATTTCTTTTTGTGTTGATAAACATATTATATTATCTTGAATCACAAGGCAAGAGAATTATGCTGGGGCATGCAGAAGATCGGGTTGTTACCCACTACGATGATGGGAATTAATAATCCTGATGAAACCCATAATTATTACTATATGGAATATAATTATAATGTCACTCGGGTGGTTGTTTTTACTTTTATATATATAAGAAGATATTTACTACTGATGGGGGCAGATATGATTGAAGATCCTGAATAAACTGTTGCACCAGCAAGCTATGTTACCCGATTATGGATGTTGGTTCTACCAATCCAGTGGAAAGACCTCAAAGAAGATACTATATGGATTATAAATTTAAAGTCATTGTCTTTTCTTTTTTTTTTATTTAGATATAATGGAAAATATAGACATATATTTTTAAGTAGTGTGGGCAGTGAATCAAAGATATTAAGAAATGTTGTGTATGGTAATTTTGCATGATAGTGGGTGAATAAGCTAGTTAGTAGATTGATTAGTCTAAGAAAAGGGATTTTTAAGTGATATATTTAGCGGAGTGGAGGAAATGGATAGAGTGGAATAAATGTTAAATTAGATTTTATGGGGAAGGCCGCTTGTTATAGTAATATATATAGAAGATTAAATGTTAAAGTAGGACTTATCGTATAGTTTTAAAGTGGAGAAGTTACTCTATAATGTCATAGTATAATGTCTTTTTTTTTTCCCCTTTCTTTTCTCTTTTCTGAAATGTATGGATAAAGGGGAATGTTATAATATTAATAATATTTTTAGTAAGTAAAGGTCAATATCTAGAGGAGGGAGTAAGTAATCTGTTATGAATTAGTTTTTTTTGTTATGAAGAAGTCACAGGGGGGGATGGGTGGGGAGGGGGGGTTAGGGAGGGGGAGGGAGAGGGGAAAAATAAAGGGGGAAAAATTTGTATTTGAAAACTTTTTCAATAAAAAAACAAAACAAAAAAAACCAAATAAAGATAAGATATAGAAAGGACCAAGAGGAGGGAGGAATAAACTTAAAACAAAATCGATTGGACAAATTACTAGAATCTAAAGAAGGGAAATTAATTTTGAAAATTTATAAATATTTACTTGAATATGATTTGGCAGAATTGGTTAAAGGGCAGATGATAGCGTGGGCGAGGAACATTGGGCACAGTATACAGTTAGAAGACTGGGAAAGAGCATGGGAAAACAATTACAGCATGACAAAATCGGTAGCTTATAAAGAAAATCACTATAAGATGTGGTACCAATGGTATCTGGCCCCCGCAAGGTTAGCAAAAATGTACCCGAATGTAAATCCGGCCTGTTGGAAATGTAAAAAAACACAGGGAACTTTTTACCATGCTTGGTGGCTTTGCCCAGAAATTAAGAAATATTGGAACAAAATAAAAATATGGATATTAGAAATAACAGATTATGAAATTGAATTAAAACCTGAAGTCTTCTTATTAGGCATGATTAAAAAGAATATTAATATTTAATACTTCACATAATTACGGCAGCTAGACTAGCTTTAGCACAACTCTGGAAAATAGATTGTTTGCCAACTGACCAGGAGCTAATACAAAAAATCTATATATGCGCAGAAATGGACAAATTAACTTTAGAGTTACAGGACAAGGAAGACTCAAAATATTTTACAATATGGAATAGATGGTACCAGTGGATAAACCAGAGGAGGGGGAATGGTTAAAGATGAAATTTAGAAGAAATCAACACAATTAAAAACAGCACTGTCAGATGGATAGAAAAGGAAATTAGTCACTGTGTGTATGTATATATAATAGAAAGTAGTCAATAGATGAAGTTGTGTACTGTATATGCAAATTTGTTTTTGATTAAGAGAAACTTGTATGTTTTTTATATTTGTTTTAAATGTTTTTTAAGAATTAATAGTTTTGTTTTAAAAATTAATATAGATAGATAGATAAGATAGATAGATAGATAGATAGATAGATAGATAGATAGATAGATAGACAGACAGACAGACAGATAGATATAGATATATATTTTATCTTACCAGGTTATGCAAAGCCCATCCATGGTTTTGTTTAAAGTTTAGTGTATTGTGTGAACCCATAATATTGAATTAAATAAACCACAAGTAATTTACATGTAGTAAACATGTTTTATGAAAATTGCTTTTCTTTAAGAAACAAAACGTACTGTACATCCATTAGGAAACAAGTGACTTGTTTCTTACAATTGAAATTTTTTGATGTTCTCAACTCTCAGCTGTTCGTGGTTTCCTGGTAGATGCTAGGCATTTGGCAAGGTTTCAGAACAAGTTGCAAAACAAGCTCAGCTGTTTAAGGTTTCATTTTTAAAAATTTCTATCTCTTCTGTGCGTACATCTATAGATGCACCAAGCCCTCCCCTATTCCTTACAATTCTTGACAAGCAGGCAGAAAGCTGGTATTACAAAATGTTTAGCTTCCTTCCTTTTCTGTATCCCTGAAGGCCACACCTAGCAGCTGGGACATTATTCTAGGTGATAAAGTTCAACTCTCTAAGCCACAGGTTCCTTCCATAGTTTTCTGTCCAGCATCAAGTAGTCCTGCTATGCTATTTTGGTGTCTCAGGACTATGAGGGCTGCATTAGAAACACAAACCCAGTACAATCTCAACAGACTGAAAAGTCTCCTCTTTCCAATGAAACATTAACAAGCAGGAAATCTGAGTTATGATTTTCATAACTTATACAGTAGCAATCTTTAAAAAGTAGTATTAAGACTATGGGAACAGCTCCCTCTAATTTGCTAGGGATTCACCAAGGCCTATAATGTATGTATTGGGCAGAGAGTTCTGTCAACTAGAACAGCAGCGCCCAACCTTTTGGCCACCTGGGACCAGTTCTGTGGAGAGGTTTTTCTGCGGACTGGAGGGGGCGTGGTGTTTTTTTTTTTGACATTTTTTTTTTAAACAAATATATAAAAAACAAATAAAAAACCATCTTCAATGTAAATACAGTGTGTCGGTTGGTTACAAATCTTTTGTGCATCTTCACTCTATTCATATATATCCATATACTATTATCCTCATTAATCATATGTTTAACTATGGTTATTTCTTCCCTCATTTCATGCAGAATAATCTAAGATTTAAGTTAATTTGTATTATGCTCTTCATTCTTCTAAATCATTCCAATAACAGTACATCTTTATATTGTATTTTATATAGTTCTACATTTCTTGCATTGGAAAAATCTCTACCATATTTCATTTCCATGTCTTTTTATCTAACCGTTGGTAAAATAAATCCCATCTTATAATATTGTTTATCTTCTTGTTCTCTATTTTCAAATGTCAATTTACTAATTTCTGCACATTCCATTATTTTCTTAATAACTTCGTCTTGCGTTGGCATTTTCTCATTTTTCCAATTATTAGCAAACACAATTCTAGCCGCTATTAATACATTCACAATCAAATATCTCAATTCTCTATTGTATATTTCAGGTACAATCCCCAATAAAAAAATCTTTGGTTTAAAGTCTATGTGTTTTTGTGTCATTTTTTCCATCCATGTGTGGATTTTAGTCCAGTATCTTTTAGCTTCTGTACACATCCACCACATATGGTAATATGAGCCCGGTATCTGATGACATTTCCAACATTTTTCTGATTTATTCTTGAACATTCTAGCAATTCTCGTCGGGGGTAAGTGCCACCTGTAAAACATCTTATATAAATTTTCTTTATATGCAATTGACATTGTCATTTTATAATTTTGCGACCACAATTTTTGCCATCTCTCTAAGTCAATTCCATGTCCAAAATTTTTCCCCCAAGCAATCATTGTTTCTTTAACTTGTTCATCCTCCAATTTAACTTCTAATAGATATCCATACAATTTTTTAATTGTTTTCATCAGTACCTGTTAAGTTTTTATCTAGTCAAATTATTATAAAAACCTTGTCTTATAGTCTTTATCATGTCTAGACTGTATTTGTAAATAAGAAAACCAATTCATCTTTATACCTTGTACTTCTAATTCTTGCAAAGATTTAGAGGGGGCGTGGTTTCATATGCTCTCTGCATCCCATGGATCAGGCTTCCCTTGTTCGTGTGGACCGGTTTCTGGCATACAGCGGACCGGTGCTCGTCCATGGACGGGGGATTGGGGACCCCTGAACTAGAATACCCTTACTAGAGAAAGCAGTTTTTGAATTGGGTGATACCCAGTGCAACTTTCACCTTTTTCATCCTAGAAACAAGATACAAAAATCTTGATTTTATCAGGTATATTTTGCATAGTCTGAATCCAGTTTATCTTGTCAAAGTAATTTCAACAGTATTAATTTTACTTCTACTATGTCTGTCTGTAATGACCCTACTGTGAGGACCTATTTAGATATTAGTTATCCAAAACAGTAAATTCTAGCACCAACTTGATTTTGTATTGCTGCACATATTCAAGGAATATAAAGTACAATAACAAACTTAAATTATTTTTTCAGGGCTGGGACAATGTATTTTGACAAAATTGCCTGACCTCTAAAGTTATAAGATTACTTACCAGATGTTCCAAGCTAGGGATGGGGCATCCTATGGCCATCTAAATACTGCTGAACTACAGTTCTCAAAAGCCTGGCCACTATGGTTAACCTAGCTTCATTTGATGAATGAAAGGTTTTCTTTTCTGTGTTCAAATTGAAATGAGTCAAGAGAATTGAGGGAAACAAACTTAAATTATTAAGTTTAAATTACTTAATGAAGTATTAACAGAGCTGGCTGGAAAAATTCATGTATTTTTAAGGAATAACAAAAATATGTTTACCCTTTTTTCCCTTTGAGCAAGTATTTTCAATAACCCTTTTTAAAAAGTATCTTTGAGTCAGTCTTGACTCCTGGTGTCTACATGGACAAGTCCCTGCAGTGATCTTGGCAACATTTGCAGAAGTGATTTACCCTTTTCTTCTCAGGGCTGAAAGTGACTGACTCAGTCACCCGCCGGTTCCATACCTAAGACAGGATAAGAACTCACAGGTCTTCTAGCTTCTAATCTGGTGCCTTTAACCATTTCAACAAAATGGTTCTCATTGAGTGATTTTATATTTCTAATATCCTTCAAGTTTCAGCCTAAAAGGGAGAAACTTATTTGTTCCATTTGACCTCACTTGAAGCTATTCTAATTTATCTGTCCCTATGGGAATAAAAATATGGATTACTACTTAAGAGCTGACTTGCTTCAAGTCTCTCTTTAGCTGTAAATCCCATTTGGCAAGGCCGAATCCTCCTCAGAAAGCTATTAAGTTTTTAAAATCCCATAAATGTAAGCCCAGGATCCTGGGTAGGTTCAAAAATCTATTAAGGTTCCCAAAGTTCTTGATGCTACAACTCATGGTCACTAAATTTTGCTCATAGGAGAAATGTTTCTAATATTGCAATAGGAAATACCATTAGAAGGGACTTAATTATAGAAGAGGATTCCAACCTTTAGAAGTATGTTCTTGAGCAGGGGTGTAAAACTCAATTTTATTGAAGGCCACATCAGCATTATGGTTGCCCTCAATGATTCACAGCGACCAGGTGGGTATGTTGGGTAGACATGGCTGAGTGGTCACAGCCAGGTCACTGCGACTAGAAGGGCATGGCTGGATGGCCGCCACGAAATTGTTGAAGATCAGTGCATAGAGCCCCAGCAGCAGTGCTGCACCTGCCATTAGCGTCTCTGCGGCCCACTCGTCAGCCCGGCCTCACCCACTGGCCCTGCAGCCTGTGAGCACTTCATTTTCATCAGGGACACCAGCCTCCACACACTCTCCACATTCTGTGCGCACACACAGGGGGAGCACCCAGCTGGGCTGGGGCGTCTCTACAGTGGCCCCATGGACCAAATCCACATCGTGGGCTGGATCTGGTCCGTGGGCCTTGAGTTTGACATGTCTGTTCTTGAGAATCATGTAGAAAGGATTCTGATTCCATAGCATTCTTAATGGTGCTGATAGTAAGAAGCATCAGAGCATACAAATCTTCAAAGTTGGTAAGCTTCCAGGACTGTAATATGAAGCAGCCCCCTTCTATTTACAGTACAGAATGTTGGGCAAGAGCAGGGATTCCCACTTTTTCCCCTACAGACTTTTGGGATTCAACTTTTATTAAGGGGTTCTCAGAAAGACACCCATAATGGTCAGGAATGAGCCCCTTGAAAGCAAAAAGAAAAATTTCACCTTAGAGTGTTTCTCAAGATCAAATGTCAGTAAATTACAAATAGATTTAATGTTTTTAATAATTAAATTAGTCATTCCATAAAATGCACCCTTGCTAATCACAATAAATAGAATACATTTTGCCTCCTTTAAAACCTATTATATACATTGCTTGAATCCACAAATTCATTACAGGGAACAAGCTTTCAAAACAAGCCTTAAACTTTAGCCAAAGATAAAAGATTCAACACACTTTATAAGTGTGTAAAAGGCAGGGCCAACCACCAAAATGCCAAGAGAGAAACAGCTACTAATGGCTCAGGAATCATAAGATCTGAGATAGAAACTAGGAAGATCACAAAACAGATGATAACCTTTTTAAAAAATAAGAGTTAGACTCCTATACAATTAGATCATATTTGGCAGAGAAATGGGAGCAAATATCTTGTCCACCAAGAAGAAAAAAATCCTAGTCATATTTTCCATTCAAGGCTAGTTTTCTGCCGACCACCATTTAATATAGTTACTGTTGGTGTAGTATGATAATTACTATAACTCTTGTTAGGAACCTAGTGCAATGCATCAGAGAATTGCTAGATCCTTACATATACATTGAATAGAAGGAGGCAGAATTATATCCCTGAAAGGAAAACACCAAGCATCACAAGACTGCTGAAATTCTGGGGTAGGTGGTAATAGGAGGAGGTTCCAGTGTAGTAGCAAATGCAGGCTTTATCTCAAAAAGACCCTAATCTGTTGAACCTGAATGGTATCCAAAATGCTTCTTCTAATTTTGGGGACCATTTCAAGGGAAGAAATGTAAGAGGTAACTAGAGAAGATCAAGCAGAAATGCTGCAGTGCAATGTGATTCCCAAGGGACTGGCACATTTGGAAAAAGCTGTAAATCAGAAGTACAGAGGAGAACTCATATAATATGTATAAATAGAAACAAATAATTCAACACATATTTTGAGGTAGGGCAGAAGAACTATCTTTGTTCCAGAGCTCTGGGGGAAAAAGGACAGTCTTGGGGAGTAGAGGCCTAACAGGCAGGGGAAAGTTAGCTTGGTCCAGACCAGAGGGCTCTTTCTGAAATTAAGCTGGGACAGAGAGGTGCTGCTCAAGGATGCACTGGATGTGTGAAAGCCCGAGATCCTCTGCTAGCTCCAATGGCGTTCGCCCCTTGGAGTCCTTCTGCTGCAATTGGGATTGAGGTGCCAGGAAGCAAACCACATCTGTGTAACCTTCTCGAATAGCAACATGGATGGGCAGTGAGCCAGAAGCATCTGGGACATTGACATCTGCACCATGTTCCACCAAGATTTTCAAGGTGTCAAGAAAGCCAGTGCGGGCAGCATCATGGGCAGGTGTTGTGCCAGACCCATCTTGGATGTTAGGGTTGGCACCTTGCTTTAGCAGTTCTTCAGCCACAAAGATATTGCCAAACATCATTACCTGTTGGAAGATGGATAAAAGAGGATGAAGCGGGATATTTACAGCCTCACCTCCTCTCAGTAGGTGAGCAGGCAAGCCTTAACCCCATTTGCTGATTATGGGAAGTAACAGGGAAGGCTACCTTCTTTTGAAGGCTGTGTTTGTACAACATATTGAGACATAAACAAACAACTGTAGAATAGTGGAGTTGGTTGAAGAGCCTAGGCCAGTGATGGCTAACCTTTTTGCCTTCGTGTGCCAAAAGTGGGAGGAGCACGGGGGGGGGGTCACACCCACGTGTGCCCACACCCATAATTCAGTAGGCCTTGCCCCCACGCGCATGCGCGCGTGACACCCCTGCACTTTCCCCGCTTTTGGCATGCGATGGCACGGTGGGCCCAGCAGGCCCGTTTTTTGCCCTCCCCAGGCTCCAGAAGCTTTCTTGGAGCCTGGGGAGGGCAAAAACAGCCTTCCCCACCCCCCTCCAGAGGCTCTCAGAGGCTGGAAATAGCCTGTTTGCCGACTTCCGGTGGGCCCCGAAGGCCCAAAAATCAGCTGACCGGCACATACCTGCGTGCCAGAGCTGAACTAGGGCAACGCTCGCGCGCCCACCGATATGGCTCTGCGTGCCACCTGTGGCACGCGTGCCATAGGTTCGCCATCACGGGCCTAGGCAGATCTTTCTGTAATTATACAGACAGGGTGTACCTCTTTTTTCCAAAATAGCTGTAAACAAGTTACCTCATGCCCTTTAAATGATCCTATTTGGCTTGAACCCAACAGGAAATAGGGCTAGCCTGTTTGGCCTATGTCTGTGTACTATTTATTAAAACACAACAATTGTTTAAATGCTGCGTGAGATTTCATGCAAAGGTAGAAAAGATAGACTTGACTATAAACTATAAAAATGTAGGGCAGGTCCTACGGCCTTAATTATTGGGCTGCAATCTAGAATCAATTTTTGGTTGAGGGAGATGTCCTTGAAATGGCCCCCCATCTGGCAACAGCCACTTTTCCCAGAAGTGCCAGACCAATGGGAGTGAACAGACACTGGGGAAAACTGCAGGATCTGAGCCCCTTCACCCAAGCCTCCGGTGTCTCCAGGTGATACTGTTTTCTCTCTAGGAAACATGTGATGCCTCTCTTACTTGCAGCGCGGTCTTGCCAAAGCGATTATGGGAGTCGGGATGCACCAGTTCCAGATGCAGAAGGTGTCGGACTTCAGTTATATCCCCCCGGGCAGCAGCTCCGGTTAGCCGGTCTCCAGCCCGGATCTCGGCATTTCCCGGCTGCATGCCCGCACAGGCACCTGCAGAGAAAAAGGACAGGCGAAAATGAATGAACCGACGACCAGCCGAACAGAATTGTTGCGCTGCCACAAGCAGTTTTCTTTTGCAACGAGAGGTGTTGGCACCGAAGCTCCCGCAGAAGATCTACTCCACACTGGCCGGCCTGCTTGCCCGTCCTGCTTGGAAGCGGCCACTTTTTTCAAGATGCGATAAAAGCATTCTGTACAGGCGTAGATGCTCCGCATCGCATTTCATCCTTGATGTTTGACAACAGGCCGGCAGGGATTAGCTAATTTTTTCCTATCTCCCCGCCGGCGGCGGCGGCCTTGGCCTTCCCTCGGGCGGGAATCCTGCTGGCTCTTCGCGGCTTACCTCCACTCCCGGGAGGTAGGCTCTTCTCCAAGTACTTGTCAAGCACAGCAGAAATCAGCGCTTTGCTCTGCGTTGCCGACCCGGCTACAGGACTGGCCTCGCTGCTGTCCCTAAGGAGGGCCTGGCCCGGTTCAAGGCAGCCGTCGGGTCGTGACAAGACAGATCGATGCAGAAGCTGCTAGAATGCCGACTCAGGGAGGTGTTTCTGGGGGCTCGGCTCCCTCCCTCCGCCTGTACTGTGAAGGAAAGCCGCCGAGGACTGCTGTAGCAGGCAGCGCCGCCCGCTCCTTCGCCTGCCCGTCCAAGCTAAGAGCTGGCACAGATCGTGGCAAGCCCGCCCCAACTATTTGAGTTGCAGCCTCGCCAGGGCAACCTCCCCTACCTTGGCCCCGCCCTCTCATGACGGACGCTGTTTGTGGCTTTTTTAATTTCATTCCGCGCTATTAATTTGGATACATTGTAACCTGTCCGATTCTCCATTTCACTGCCCTCGCCTGATCCGACCAATCATGAGCCAGCTCCGGGCAGGGAGCTGGAGAGCCTCGTTTTTGGATTGGTTCACTAGTGGCGGACTGCTAGGCGGGTCTCTTCGATTCAAATAGTATTTCGGGCGGGAAGAAGCTATCTCTTGCTCTCCCCTCTAGGTCCCAGGCAGGCAAGGCAAGCCAGAGGTCGCGACCTGGGAGGGGGCGGGAGGAACGCGAGACGGCTGTCCAAAATGATTCTCGCCCTACCCGTATAAGCGAGCAGCCAATCCCATTCCTGTTGAGTTTGGAAATCAGCGCTTTTGATTATCCTCCAAGTTTTCCTTGTAAAATCCGCCTTGCTGGGTCTTGTACACAACAGGAATAATTGCTTTTGAGCAAACGAAACTGCGTGAATTTTATCTAGTCAGGATTAACTTCACAGGTGGCTTCTCAACTGCAAGCGCCAGATTTAGCTAGTTTTTTTTAAGAAAGCCAAGTCAGGTTTTCTATATATACTCCATCACATGGTTTATCTGTCCTTCCATAGAAAAGATTTGGAAGAGCTATAACAAACCCTGCTTTCAATCTTCAATTATTATACTCAGTTTTGATGAGTTTGCCACAACTCTTAATACCTCAGAATTTTCACATATCCCTGATTTTTCATGTGTCCTTCACCTCCCCCACCCCACACTGTAAAGGCAGCCTTTGCCTGTTTTTTTTCTTGAGCTGTTGTAAAAAATGTTTATCTGATTTCCACCAGCCCAGGCAATACTGTCACTTCTGGCAAAGCTCTTCATTTCATTGTAGGCAAAAAACTTCTACTCTAATTGGTGAATGTCAATTGAGATCAGAATGTCCCTTCTGTCAGTATATTCCAGTTCATGAACTGGAATAGACATGGTAATAGGTCAGCCAATGGGGACTGTTTGGTGACCCAGATGGCTCCAAGCTTGCGTGTGGCTTAGGTTCACTGATTTGTATGTATATGTGTGCTGTGATTCTATAGCTTCTGTGATTATTGATTCTGTACTTCTGGATTCTGAGTTCTGGTTCTGGCTTCTGCTGTATGGTATTGTATATAAAGAAGTTTCTTATATAAATGAATCCTGATGAATTTTTTACTTGTGTGCTGGTTGGATTGCTGCAAACTCTAATACCTTCCTCTCCTATTGCTGGTCCCTGCCCTCTGCATCATTTCGTCCTTGCCACTTTTTTTTCCATCAAGTTTTTATTTTTTTAAAAAAAATTATACATATCATTATGTGGATGGCATGGTGTTTGAGTATCATACATTTCAATATAGATAAACATTCATAATTATTACATTCCATTTTCCTTATTCCATATTATTTACCCCTATCTTTTACACAATTTTTTTATTTTCATATAAATATTAACGTATGCAATAACATCTAAACCGATATGCTTTAACATCCACCATATTATCTTTCTTTATTTCAATAATATAACCCACAAGTAGAAAAAATATGAAATTGTCCGTTTTCTTTTCTCCTGTACACCATATTTCCCAATTTTACAACAACAATCCATCTCCTTTCCTCTTCTTTCTCATCACTCTTACCTTCTCCCCTCTTTCTCTCTACTTCCCTCCTTCCCTTTTTCCTTCTACTTCCCTCTCCTCTCCTTCTCCTCTCCCCTCTATTTCCCCTCTTCTTCTCCGCTTCCCTCTCCTTCCCTTTCTATTCTTCTCCTCCCCTCCACTTCCCTCTCTCCTTTCCCCTCTCTCTCCTTACTCTTTCTCCCCTCCTCTCCTAGTCCCGTCACTCCATTTCACTCTCTCTTTTCGTTGTTGTATATAATATTACCAATACTTACAGGATACGGTGTATTTTCCAATGGATAGCTCTTCCAACTATAACTATACAACTTCTTAAAGTTATATTCAAAAATAAAACAGACTTAATCACTTAAACATATATTATTATTATTATTATTATTATTATTATTATTATAATATATTCATTGATCAAACAGCATACCGTCTGAATACCACTTTCTTACATCCTAACATTTCAAGCTTACCACTATTTTAATTGTGTGTCTATTTTTCAATGTTTCTTTTCCTAACTTATTTGACTTTGTGATACATTGCTTTTACACCCTTCCATTCTAAACTTCAAGTAATATTTTTCCCCCTCCACATTATTATATTCAAGGACATAATACTCAGTTTTGTTATTTATTTTTTAATTTGATTTATATGCCGCCCTTCTCCAGAGACTCAGGGCAGCTTACAATGTGTTAAGCAATAGCCTTCATACTTTTGTATATTTATACAAAGTCAGCTTATTGCCCCCACAAACTGGGTCCTCATTTAACCTACCTTAGAAAGGATGGAAGGCTGAGTCAACCTTGAGCCTGGTGAGATTCGAATTTACAGTAATTGCAGGCAGCTGGTGTTAATCACAGTGCTTTTAGTCTGCTGAGCCACCAGGCCCTTTTTGATTCAGATTCCCATTATTTAACTCTTCCTCTCTGTATATTTTAAAGTTTGTTAATACACATAAATATATCTACTTTCACATTACCTACACAATAGTCATATTTTATACACTTTTAATAATACCATCATTCAAACTCTCTTTCCAGTTTCATATCTATTTGTGGTAATGTTTATCCTAATATTTATTTATATTAAATACCAACTAATTGTCCAGACTATATCATTCTAATATTAATACAATTATTAACATATAATCATGACATATCTATAACTCTTTTTCTCCCCTTAACCATTATCTTATCCACTTCCCCTCTTTTAGTCCTACCTTTTTTTTTTACTTTTCTCCCGTTTTCCTCTTAAGTCTTTTATTCCATCTACTTCGAAGTTTATATTCTGAATCCATATTTTTTTCTCCTTGCCCTGTCTTTTCCCACTGTTTAATTTGAAAGGTTTCTGCTCTAAATCCTATCGTTTCCCTCCAAACCTTTTTAAAATCTTTTAAAATGTTTTCCCTGTTTTAATTCCTCAATTCTTATTAATTTTAATAGTATCTCGTTATCTTCTTTTTGCTGGTTTCTCAGTTCTAATTCCCTTTTGTTCCAGCTGATGATTCCATTCTTTCCTTCTTGTCCTGGCCTTTGCTCCTTCTCTCTTGTATACAATTTTCCTGTCTTCTATCTATACGATCAAATATTTCCACCATGTCCTTGTGTAGTTCCAGGATAAGGTCCTTAATGTCCTTAATGTTAATGTAATCATTAACTTCATTTCGTTTGAGTCTCCACAATTGTCAGTTCAGAAACCAAACCTCCAAGTCAAATGTCTCATCAATGTTCAATCAAATCAGTTAGTTACTTCAGGGATCCTCCATTCCTCAAGTCGTTTTTGTATATCCAATAGTATTTAGGTGTCCTCAGACACAAATTCTTTTTTAATATTCCAGTCTCCAGTGGTTAGAACAGGGGTCTGCAACCTTAAGCACTCAAAGGGCCATTTGGACCAGTTTCCCACAGAAAAAAAACACCCCGGGAGCCACAAACCTGGGTGGGCATGGCCAACTTGATGTCACTCACTCCCACCCAATCACATGACACCCCCCAGCCATGCCTACTCAGCCACAAAACCATTCTCTATGTCTCTCTCCCCCTCTATCATCCCCTCCCCCCTCTCCCCCCTCTCTGTATGTCTCTGTCCCTATCTCTCCCCGTCTCTCCCACTCTCCCTCTGTATCTCTCTCCCCCTCCCTATCTTGCCCTCTCTCTGTGAATCACTGTGTGTGCCTCTGTCTCTCTCTCACCCTGTGTATCACTCTGTGTCTGTCTCTCTCACCCCCTCTCTGTGTATAACTCTGTATATATCTATGTCTCTCTCCCCCCCCCCCCCGTGTGTGTGTGTGTGTCCCTCTCCCTCCTGCCCTCTCTCTCTCACTCACTCACTCACTCTCTCGGAAAACCGGAAAACCGCGGCTGGGTCAAGCCAGCAAGCTCTTCTTGGGGCACTTCACTACTCCTTTTATTTCTTCTTTTTGGAAATCTGGGCTCACTGAGGAAAGATCGCCAGCAGCGGCGGAGGCTTCCCTTCGGGTGACCATCCTCCTCCTCCTCCTCTCATGGCCCTCTGGCTGGCTGTGGCTGAGCAGGAGTGTGCGCACCTGTGGGGAGACCCTCCTCAAGCAAGCGCCAAAGCACAGGAAAGCACCACATTTGTGTGTAAA